TGTGTTTATCTCAAGATCCATTTTCCAAATTTACTACAACTCCTGGCTGCAGGTGAGCGGCAACCTCTGCCGTGAATCCCCATTGGAAGCTTTTGCTGTTTTTAACCTCAAATTGAATCTCCGTGGCTCCACGGTGTTTGTGTCCGGCAACCGATTCATGTCCAGCGCTGGCACGCCGACAGTTCTGTGGATACCTGCAGCTCCCAGAGAACTCACAAACGGAGCGATTGTGGCCGCGTGCAACACTGTGAACGGCGAGGAGGGAGTGCAATACAGCATCCCGTCCGTGTACAATGCCACTATTCTGACCTGCAGCGATCCATGCGCCCTTGCGGCGTCGTGCTTCCCCTCCTACACGACGACGGCCTCGAGTGATGGCTGCGCCTGCAGGTGCGCGGAGGGCGGCCACGGCGATGCGTGCCTGCCCGTTGCTGTCCCCGAGCCACCGAGCACTGACGGCGCCGACTTGTGCGTGCGGGATGTGCGTGTGGGTGTGAAGGTGAACGCCGGTCTCGGGACGTCGGTGGTGTGCTACGTTGGTGTGACCTTTGCGGCAGACGTCGTGGTGGACGTGGAGTCGATGTCAGGGAGCGTGCGCAACGTGACGCTGGCGAACTGCACGTTTTTTGGCGGAGCGAGCCTGTACGTTGTCGGGTGGCGGTCCGACCCGCCTGCTGGCGAGCGCGTCGATGTTTTGTTGAGCGGGCTTGAGTCGCGCTCCGGCGGCGGCGTGGTGGTGGCGAGCCGGTTTTCGCCGGACTCGCGCGTCACTGTGGTGGACTCGGTGCTGATCGCAGAGAAGCGTGTTGCGTACCACGGCGACTACGACCTTGGCGACCTCTCCGCGTGCCTCGTGGTGCACAACGTGAATCTGACGGGTAGCGTGCTGACCATCGCGCGCACGCATGTGGCGGCTGTGTTCGGCGACGCTGTTGGCTTGTTGTTTGTTGGCGGCGTGGCGCTGTCGTCGCGCGGTGCGCTGTACGTGGACAGGCTGTTGGTGCAGACGGCGCTGGGGCTGTGCGTGTTGGTGGAGGGCGGCGTTGCGGCGAGTGGCGGCTCCGTGGTGGCGTTTGTTGACAGCGGCTTCCTGCTTTGCAAGCACGCGGTGTCTGTACGTGGGGCTGTGAGCGTGTCGGACTCCGCTGTGGCGCTTGTGCGGAGCGAATTCTTGTCGACGGAGGAATACGCGGTGGCGTTTTATTCGACGGTGAGTCTGGCCGACGGGTCGATGCTGCTGGCGAAGGGCAACATACACGACGGTGTCTCGAGGGAGATGCTCTACGCTGCTGGCGCCGTGACCGCTGCTGGGAGCACGCTGAGCTTTGTGCGCAACCGAGCGCTGCTGCCGCGGATGCTGTCGCTGAGCCTGTCGCTTGCGGCTGGGGCGCATGTGAGGGTGGCGTGCAACGACGCGGGTGGACGTGTCCTGTCGACGGCGGAGGAGTACGCGGCGGCTGGTTTTGGCGACGCTGGGCGCATCGACGTTGCTGGGTGCGGCGACTGCGACAGGGACACGCACTGCTACGCGCCCGGGACGGCGTCTGCGAGCATGACGAACGGTGTGTGCGTGTGCTTGTGCGGCAGCGGCGGGTACGGCGAGGCGTGCGTGCCTGTGGGAGCTCCCGCGCTGCCGCCCGCTGTGGGCACTGCGCCGAGTGTGTTCGTCCGCGAGAACTTGACGGTTCAGTCGGTGTTCGTTGTGCCTGCCGGCGCGAGCGAGGTGGCGCTGCGCCACGTTGTGCTGGACGGCGTGAGTCCTGTGCTCTACGTGCCGTGGATGGCGCGAGACGGCGTGCGGATCGTTGTGCAGAACGTGTCGCTGCTGAACGGTGCCGTGCTGTACGTGATGGGCGGTGGAGCGTTGCGCGGTGCGGTGGCGGCAGGGAGCGACGAGGGCGGGCCGGTGGAGCTGTCCGTGTGCGATGTGGAGGCGCTGAACGGTGCGCTTGTGCTGAGCGGCACGTTCCCTGCGGGGTCAGTGCTGACGGTGACGGACTCCCTGCTGGTTGCCGCGAGGCCGACGCCGCTTGTGTATCTTCCCGGCTCGCAGTCCTCGCCGTACGCACCGGTGCTGGTGCTGTCGGGCCTGCGGCTCGTGCGGTCCGTGCTGGTTGTGTCCGGCGTTGCTCTCGTGACCGTGATGACAGGTGGGCGGACGGTGGTGGTGGACGGCGCTGTGCTGGAGCTTGTCGGTGGCGGTGTCGCGCTGGACGCGGCCGTGTTCGGTGGTGAATATGCGTTGTACGCGAGTGCGCGCGTGGTTGCGTCTGGGGGCGCTGTGCTGCGCGTGTCGGGGAGCCAGGTGTACGCCGCGCATGGGTTGGTGTTTGGCAGCGGGGCGGAGGCCGACGCGTCCGCCGTCGTGGTGAACGACAACGTCGGTGTGCTGACGGATGGCGCGCTGCTGGAGCTGCGGGGGTCGGCGTCGTTTGCGTCTGGTTCGTGGCTTTCGGTGCGCGGCAACAGCATCAGTGGCAGGCTTCTGTCGCTGCCGTCGTACCCGCGCCGTGCGGACCTCGTGCAGAGCACGCTGACGCTCCACGGGAACGCCGGCAGCGGGCCCGTTGTGATGGATGGCACCGTTGCGCTTGTGGGTGCCGGCCGGAAGTTTGTTGTGGGATGCCTGACGCTGAACGGGCAGGCGCTGCAGCCGATGCACTACAGGTCCGCCGGCATCATCGGGGAATTCCGCCCCGTGGCGTGTGGCGTGTGCGACGCCGACGTGCGCTGCTTTGCAGCTGCGACGAGGGCGATGTCGGGGTCGTGCGGCTGCCGCTGTGCTGAGGGCGGGTACGGGCGCGACTGCCTGCCGGTGTACCTGCCGCACGTGGACGGGTGCAACCGCACGCCTGGCATGCCGCTGTTGAGCCACACGGCGACGCTGACGGAGACGCACAGCCTGACAACAACGTGGACGCCGAGTCTAAGCACGACGCGCTACAGTCCGACGCGGTACGGGCCGACGAAGACCCTGCAGGTGACGGAGACGGTGGCGCTGCCGCCCACGCGGACCCCGACGGCGTCGGTGAGCAGCACGCTGTGGTGGAGCGACGTGGCGTGCCCTACACTCACCGTGACGACGACGGCTGCTGGTGGGAGCCTGACGCAGAACGACATTCGCGGCAGTGGGAGCGCCGTCCCGACGCGGCTGATGGTGGCGCTGCCGCCGCCGTTTCGGTGGGCACGCGACCCGCAGCTCGGCACGCACCTGAGCTTCGTGCCGGTGTCGACGGTGCAGCCGAGCGGGTTCGGTGGTCCGTGGGGAGCGATGCTGAGCAACGCGACGTGGGTGCGCAACGCGACGAATCCGTCCACCGTC